AACATCATATTCGATCTTTGATGAATCTTTTTTCATGCAAAATTATTTTCTTCCAAGATTAGTTTTTTTCATGAATCTTTTTTCATGCAAAATTATTTTCTTTCAAGATTAGTTTTTTTCATGAATCTTTTTTCATGCAAAATTATTTTCTTTCTTTCGCTCCTGGTTTGATGCATTAATTCCTTTAAGCCTTGCAATCTTAAAGATTCTAAAGCATATTACAATCTTCAAGATTCTGGAGCAGTTTCTTCATGTACCCATTTCATCATGCAATTATTTCATGATGAACCAAATACATTATGCAACCGTTTCACTAGTCATTCTCAATAACGCCATGAACTAGTTTCAATTTCATGAAACCTATTTCATGTACAGTAATTTTCTTAATTCACCACTGATTTGATGGATTCATTCATTTAAGCCTTACAATCTTCAAGATTTTGGAACATGTTACAATCTTCAAGATTCTGTAGCATATTAAAATAATTTCCTCGTTTCATCATGCACTTAGTTCATGATGCACCAAATACAAAATGCACCGGTTTCATTTTCCTCTTCACCAACTAAATGGATCAACTACACAATCAATGCAACGGGTTCACCATGAAAATGTTTCGGTTCACATAATTTATTTGCAACATGAACCAGTTTCACGTTCATGAAACCTGTTTTATTTGTGAGATATATATATATATATATATATATATATATAATATGTAATATCTAAAACAAATAAACGGCTAAAATTGGATGTTGTACTTATTTTACAATTTTGGTTCTAATTTTTTTATTTTAAAGAATATGCTAGATTTTGGTGTTTATTTTCATTAAAAGAATTTTATGGTTAGTTCCGAACTTATCAAAATGTATCTTATTTCAATGTAAAAGTTTACAGTATCGAGTAAAAAACAAGTGCACCTGAATAGAGTATATCCAACATCTTTTAAAAAATGGGGATTTTGAGCCATTAGTTTGCTGTAATTTGCCTGAAACTACCTTCAAAATGGAGAAAATAGGAGAGAGAAAAGTTTTTTCTTCAAATACGAAGTTAGGCATTGTTTGACAAAAATATGCTAGCATATTTTCTGGATACACGTTTAGATGCACATAAACTAGCTTATTAAAGCGTTACTTGGAATAGCGTTTTAGTAGCTTATTATCATTTTTTCCAATTATAACCATCAGTAACATTGATTGTTATTTATTATTATTAATTATAAATGAATATTAATAAAATTTAAATATTATTAATATTAATTATTACTTATATAATATTTTCATATAATTATTTTTTAATTATTATTAAATATGTTTAATTATCAACACACAAGTATAACAATTCAACAATGTAACATAAAAACTAAAATTAAACTTTATTTTGTTTCAATAAATAATATAAATATGTTAAATAATTTGAATAAAATATTTAATTTAATTATTAAATTTATGTTTTATTCAAAAATAAAAATATTACCACTTTCTCAAAATCTCATGAAACCAATGTTTACTTAAAATTCAAAATTACAAGTAAATTATGCAAAWGTACAACTTATCAAAGCTCGATTTTTGAATTCGTATTAACTAATTGCGGATAAATATAATCAAATAGATGATAAATATCTTATTTTAAAATATAAAAAATTTAAATTATAATTAGGATAATTATCGAGTTCTAAAAAAATAATTAATTATTATCTTTATTAAACCAAATATAAATTACTTCGTTATTATACCTAAATTAAATTATAATAAAAAAATATTAAAAAATTACACAAAAAATGAGGAATTTAAAATAGTTAATTTGGTACGAATATCGATATATTTTTGTTATGCAAAAAGTACTGTATATTAATGCATATTATTTAAAATTCAAGATTACAAGTAATTATGCATAAATACAATTTATTAAAGCTCGATGTTTGAATTCGTTTAAATAACTGTGGATAAACATAATCAAATAGA